CCTGGATGATCGCAGACCCGGGCGCGCCAGGTGTGTGTGGCCTTTGTGCTGTCTTGTTTGCAAACCCCGCACGGTCCGAGCTGAACTGTGACACTTAGCTGAGCTGGCACAGAGCTAACCTGGGACTTCGATGGTTTGTGTTCTGTCTTTGTGTTTCCTCAGAAAGAGATGGCGGGAGGCCGTCCTCACTGCACGTCACAGTGCCCTTGTCTCTCAGGGTCTTTGGCTGGCCTCTGCGTGTAACGTAAACTGTCAGACCACAGCCTGCGCTCACCGATGCTGTGTGACAGCACCGTGTCACCAGCATGATGAGGCGGCAGCCTGGGGAAGCCATCACACACCCTGCTTGTCAGGGAGGGTCCTGCGGGAGCCGGGAACAGCCAGGCTGGAGCCCCTTCCAAAGGCCTGTGCAGAGTCCATGCTGTGTGGGGTCCGCGCTCTGGCCCCAGCTCTGTGGCCAGGCTGCCCCACCACCACCACAGGGCCGCTGGGGCTCCCTGCCAGGCCTTCCCGATCCTGTGGCTGAGCCTTGAATCCCCAGGGAGGCACCTGGCTTTCTGGGTGGCCTCCCAGGGGTGTTGGAGCAAGTTTGGAGAGACCCTGTACCTGGAAACCTCTAGGGCAGCGGTTCTCAACCTGTGGGTCGCGGCCCCTTTGGGGGTCAAACGACCCTTTCACAGGGGTCGCCTAAGACCATCGGAAAACAAAAAGATATTTACATGACGATTCATAACAGTAGCAAAATTACAGTTACAGAGTAGCAACGAAAATAATTTTATGGTTGGGGGTCACCACCACATGAGGAACTGTATTAAGGGGTCGCGGCATTAGGAAGGTTGAGAACCGCTGCTTTAGGGTGTTGTGGAAACAGGTGTGGGATCCCGGGGCGAGGGGCGAGGGTGGCATGTGCTGAGGGCGGGTGGGAGGTGAGGAGGGGTGCTCGCCTCTGTAGGCCCAGCCGACCCAGAGCTTAGTGAGGCCAGACTCTGGTCTGCCTGGCTGGAGGCGTGACGGCCCCCTGAGCCTGCAGCTGGAAGGAGCCTGTGGCGGGCTGGCGGCCTGGGCCTGCTCCGCCTGGGGCGCCGAGGCCGCGGCGGGGTGGGGGGTGGCTGACGCTGTGCGTTGACCTTGAATGAGTCCTGCCGCCTTGACCTGGCTGCCCCGGCTGGCAGGCCTGCGTCTAGTGCTTCAGCCCCGGGAAGACGGTGGCCCTGAACCCCAGTGCTGCCTCGGGGAGGCCTGGGCGCTCCTGGAGAAGCCGCTCCCTCAGTGAGTGACACCCACTGGGGGCAGGGAAGGCGGGTGCAGGAGCGGAGGCCAAGGCCAGGGTTGCTTCTGTGGACACGGTCGCCAGCCCTCCCCGCCGTGAAGGGGGGCCTGGTGTTCTGGAATGACGGGTCATCTTTCCAGGGGGCTGGTCCCCTCCCTGAGGACAAGCACCACGCCCTGGTCCCCTGCGTGAAGGGACATTTGTTCTGCGTTTTATTGTGATGGGAGTGGAAAGGACAGGGTCCTCTGTGTTGTGTCCTTGATACTTTGTTTCTTGGTGGAAATACAGAGGGGAGGAGGGGGCTCATTCCTGAGTTCTGGGTATGCTGGGTCTGTAACCAACTTCGGGGAGCCCCGCCTGACCCCCTCTCTTGGTGCCCCCCTCCCCAGGCCGGGTGGGTGGGTCCTGTGTGCGACCTCAGGGTGGACGGTCGTGCAGGCCCCCAAAGGAGGTTCCGCTGCCGCCTCGGGCTCAGGGCGAGCCGTCGGCCCCGAGGGAGCCTCTTGCCCCGACTGAGACCTGGCGCCTCCCGTGGCTCTGACTGCGCTTCCTGTCCCGTCGGTCCCTGTTCTGCTTTTTGGATCCTTTTCTGTGATGTCATGCTCTGCTGCCCAGGTCCTGTTGGTCACTCCGGGGCGTCCTGCCCTCTGTGAAGGGGACCTGATCCGCGCCCCTCGCTGACCCAGGCAGTCCTGGGGAACGTCACCTTTGTCCTGTCGGGGGGCATGGCAGGCTGGCCATCGGGAGTGGGCAGTGGTTATCACTCTGGGAGGCTGTCAGCTGGGCCAGTTCAGAGGCTGTGACCCCAGGCCTGAGCGAGTTTCCTGCCGTGTGGGGCTGCTGCCGGGGGATGGCGAGAGCTCAGATCCCGGGGGGTTGGGACGTGGGGCTTCAGGGAGCAGTGCAGGTGAAGAGCGGGACGGCCAGCTTTCTGGTTCTGTCCAGCTGGGCAGGGGCACGGACCAGCATCCGTCACTGGGTTTCAGGAAGGAAGGGGTGCGTCACACTGACAGGAAGGACAGGCGGCGCGGTTGTCCCATCGGTTGTCCCATCGTCAGACCCCGTGACCCGCCCGTCTCCTTGGGATGAGCTGTAGGTGGCATGGGCTGACGGACGCCCGGTAGGGGTGTTTCATATTAGGTGGGCGGGGGCGGGTGCCAAACATGTATTTTGTACCAAATTCCATTTTGAAAGGCCAAGGAAGAGAAAGTAGTTGGATACTCACCACATGGAGCTGGGGACACGCCTGTGTTCATGCCGCCTCCATACACTCAGTGGGTCCCAGACTGTCTTCAGGCGACAGGCCCTTTGCTTAGAGACCAGGTGAGGACGTGGTTAAGCCCTGTTGCCGAGCCCGTGTGTGCACGTGTGCGTGGGCATGTGAGTCATGGGCATGCGTCTGCCTGTGTGTGCACATGTGCGTACATGTGTCTGCGTGTGTATGTGTGCACGCATGTGGGCGTGTGTGCGTGCACGTGGTGTCTGGTAGAGAGGGGCTTGGTCACCGGCATTGGATCATGTGGTGTGGGGGCATCTGATCTTTCCTCCGGCCCCCCAGTGTACCCCCATCGAGTCACACAGCTAAGGATGCCGTCCCCACCGTGGGGTGTGCAGGCAGTGGTGACATGTCTGTGCCTTGTTCTGAAATGTGTTCCCTGTAGTGAGTGTGGGAACCCATTGCCTCCTAGGTCCAGTTCTGTGGTCTTTTCTTCTGGAAGGTCCCCCAGACCTCCTGACCCCCATGCTGTGCTGGGGGGGTGTGTGAGCTGTGCACACCAGCAGTGGCCGCCGCTGCTGCTCAGGTGGGGGGTTGGGCGTGAGGGATGGCTCCCAGTGGGTCTGGCTCTGATAGCAGCCCCAAGGGGCCAGGCAGCTCTGGAGCTACTGGGTGCTGGGTACAGCAGCTGCCTTCTGTCCTGTGAAGGTTGTGGGGTTCACCCCACCAGTCCATGGTGGTCCTGGGGGCATCAGTGAACAGAAGGCCCTCGACCCCGCTCCTGGGGGACGGCAGCTGCAGAAACTAGCACGTGATTAGTGGTGTGATGGGGGAAAACAGACACCATGACGTTTGGGGGTCAGGGTGGCCTCTTAGAAGGGGACATTTGTGCAGGACTTGGGGGCTGGGGGTGGTGGCGCCAGCAGGCAGAGCATCGAGGAGACGGCGTGCCTTCAGACATGAGCTCCGGTCCGTGTGGAAGCCACAGGCTTCGCGGCCCATCTGGCGCTGACGCCCTGGCTGTGGAAGTGTCCAGAGGCTCCCTGCCACCAGGAGTCATGAGGCTGGAAGTGCTCCGTCCAGGGGAACCCACCGCCCACCTGTCGCTGTGTATAAGGTGGGCTGTGGCCGTGAATACGGAGCAGCTGACCCTGCAGACAGGCTCTCTGCTCACATCACCCCCTCCAGTGACATGGGCACTTCCGTCTGCGCTTGTCCTATTGTGTGTTGGGCCCGACCAACCGGCTGGAGTCACAGACTGTCCGATGGTGACAAGGACGAACATCAAGCACCCTGAAACACAGCCCCCGCAGACCCCGGATTGAGTGGAACGCTGTGGCCGGTGGGTGAGCCTGACCCTGGATGGAGGTGCCTGGGCACCAAGTCCGAGCCTGAGGGGCATGGTGGCCTGGAGCCAGCAGGCCGCGCTGCCCGGGCAGGGTGTGCTGGCCAGAGGGGTGCCTGGTGTGCGGGCTCCGGGGTCTCCCGTCGCCATTGGTGGAAGGAGTGGGCCCTGCAGGCCAGTGGGGCTTGGATGTGCTGGGGCCGCTGTGCTGTGCGTGCGACCCGCCGGACAGCTCTGCGGGGCCCGGGAGCCGGTGCTTTCCTGCTGTCCCAGCGCCTCGACTGGGCCCCGTCGGTGACCCCTGTGCTGTTGGAGGGTGGAAGCCCCCTTTCTCACCCTTGTCCTGGGACCCAGGAGGGGCCAGGAAGCCATGTGGCACCTCCCTCCTTTAGAGGTCCAGGCTGGACTGAATTTCAGGGTATTTTCTTCAAGTAAGTGACCCCAAACGTCCCCTTCTTAGAGTCGTGCTGCAGTCTTACCCTGTACTGCTGGGCAGTGTGGGCGCAGTTCTCGGGACATTGGAAAGGGGGTGCTATCAGGGTGCAGTGCCTCATGGGCTTGGGGCTGGTCAGGGCTGAGGCCACGCGGGAGCTCGGGGGTCAGGCTCGTACACCATGCCGGAGCAGCTGGAGTGGGCCAGAGGTGTCCATCCAGGCTGGACCCTGCGGTAAGTGGCAGGCTGTTCTCGCCACCGCCCTGTGGAGGACCCGGCCGTGAAGGGGGGCCTCTGTCAGCGTCTGCCCAGTGGGCCTGCGGCCACAGTCCTGGGACCTGACCACGTGATCCTCGGGCCTGGGCCCCTGCACTGGGGTGGCTGACCTTGGACCAGGATGCCTTCTGGGCCCACTGCCCTCAGGGGCCGCTGTAGGCGCCTCTTGCTGCTGAGCAGCCGGGGCACACAGTTGGGGTGCTGGCCAGGCTTGGGGTGAAACCTGAAGGTGGGCCCGGGGAAGGGCACGCTACACCCACGGGGGTCTGGTTGGTCGCTTCGTGCTGCCAGCCGCCTGGGTCTCCCTTCATCACCTCCGTGTAAGCGTCGCCCGTTGCAAATGTGAGATCGGAGGGCAGGGTGTGACGTTCCGTGGTCGGTCACGTGGCCTAGCTCTTTGTACTTAAGTGCGTTCATGGGGGTGTCCCATGGAGCCATTTTATAGCGACAGCTGCTCTGGGGAGGGTGCGGGGTGTCTGCAGCCAAGGCCTCGAGAGGGAAGACCCTCTGTGGGGCGTGTGAGCCCTCCTGAGGGGCCCGCGGGGCTGAGGCCTGGTGACGGGTGTGGATGGCGCCCAGGAATAGGTGGCTGGGTCTCCTGAGTGGTAGGAGCTGGGCCTGGGGCCGCCCCGGTTATAGGCGCCCACTGGGGACTGGTCCGAGGGCCCTGGGCTCCCTCTGGGGGACGCCGGGGCAGTGCCGTCCAGCAGAGAGCAGAGCACAAAGGGTTAACGCCTTTCTTTTATGAAAAAGAGGGGAACTCCCTTGTTAGAGCAGAGATCTGCTCTGCGCAGATAAGCCCAGAGCTGCCTCGGGACCAGCCAAGAAGGACGAGAAGGACGTCCCTGCTCCTGACCCATGGCCGCCGGCACCCTGTGGGCCCTTGAACCTCCCGCCAGGAGCCCTGGGGAGCGTCCGGTGGTCCCTGTGGCTGGTGAGCAGGGCACCGTGAGGAGCGCCGAGCAAGCGCCGACCAGGTGACCCCTGTGGCTGGTGGAGGGCCACAGGGGGCCGGGGGGCCAGTGAACTGTTTGTGGTGCTGGGGTCTCGCCGGGGGCCTGGGCACCTGCGTAGGCCTCGCCCCCCACGCCTCGCTCGTCCCCGTGCTCTGTGGGGCTCTGCGCTCGCTTCCTCTTCCTCTCCTTGGGCGGCGTCTCTCTGAGAAAACATTGGGGGGAGGGGGGAGTGGAAGTGAGTTACTGATTCTGTGTGCAGAGGGCTCCGGGGGTGTGAGCGCTGATGCAGGCGGCAGCTCCGGTCCCTGCGTTCTGGGTCATTCTCGAGCACCGCCCGTCCCCACTTGGTTGCCCGCGTGACTCACAGGCCGGGGTCTCGCTGGCTGTTGGGAGGAGAGCCCGTGGCGCCTGGGCCTGCTCACCACTTTCGGTTCGGCTGTGTGAGGCCGCCCTGACCCTGAGCCTGTCTGGGCTTCCATGTGCAGGCCGTGCCTCGGTCAGCGTGGCGGCACGGCCTGGCACTGTCCGTACGGTGGGGGCGCCCGTGTCCACGGCTGTGTCACCCTGTGCTCGAGCGGGCATGTACACCCCAGGGTGATGCACGTTCTTCGGGGACTCCAAGGCCATCCTGAGTTTTCTTTGTGCCTCACTTTCCGTCCTGCCTCAGAGGTGGCCGTGACCTCGGGCCTCCCGAGCCCTGTCTGGTCACGGCGCCTGCGGGTCGGGCCTGGGTTCCCAGAGGCTCAGAGGCTGGTCACTGGGGAGGGATCGAGTAGAGCTCACAGCAGGAGACAAGTGCCAGGTCGCTCTTGGGTTTCCTCTTACCTCCGACCAGGGGTCTTGACCACGGCCAGATGGGAGCCGGCGGTGGTAATGGGAGCCGCCCCGGGGGCTGCCGAGCCCTGCGGTCAGAGAGGTCCGACCCGGAGCAGCAAGCAGCCCGAGGACTGAGGGGGTGTCGGGCAGTGGGGTTCCCCAGGGGAGCCATTTTGGGGGGGCACCCTTCAGACTGAAAGTCCTGGAAACACATGCTTCCCTTGGGAAGAAGCTCTCAGCTGTGGTCCCCAGAAACACTCGTGTGCGTGTGTGTGCGCCTGTCCGCACTCTCGTGTGTGCGCTGTGTCTGTGTATATGCATGTATGTGTGCTGTGTGCATCTGTGTGTACACGCTGAGTGTGTCCAAATACTTGCTGGGACTTTCCAGCCACTCTTGATTTGCCGTTTCTGAGCGTCAGTGCGTCTTGGTAGCTGAGCACCTGGTAACTGTCCTTGCTGTGTGAATGTCACACTTAAAAATGTGCCAGAGTTGGGGTCTGCAGACCCTCAGGGGTGATTAGTGAGTGGAGGTGGGGTGTGCACCGTGGCCCTGGTTGAAGGGTGGTGCATCTGACACCTTCCTGACCCTGCCTACGGTTCCCCAGATTGCCTAGTGTCGCCCACGAGAGCCTCCCACGAGGGCCTCCCTCGAGAGCCCCATGGGACATGAGTGGTTAGTGGGGGGGAGAGGGACACACCTGTATCTCACGGGCTTTAACCTGAGGCTGCGCTGCGAGCCCCTCCGACCTACGAGGCTGCTCACACCTGGTTTCTGTCACAGATGCGGGGACGGGATGCCTCTGACGCTTTCAGAAGTGAAGGCTGTGCCCCAGTGGGGAAGCCTTGAGGATGGGGTGTAAGCGGCCCACCTGCCTCCCCCTGTGGGATGTCCAGCCAGACCGGGCACACATGGGTGTCACGTGGGGGGGGGACCCGGCGTTGGGACGAGCCAGGCCTCCACCTGTGTCGGATCCCCTGTCCGTGCTGGGCAGCAACATTAGCCTCAAGTAACAGGCTTTGTTCATGGCGGGAAGCCGGGCGGAGAGGGTGGAGAGGGCACGGGTGTGAGCGCAGGGGAGGAAGGTTTAATGTGCTCAGTGGAGGTTCACACCTTGGGGAGCAGCAGGTCGCCCCCATGAGAGGCAGTGGCAGTCCCTCAGGCCAGCATGTGAGGTACAGCTTATGGAAGGGACCAGGTGCCCGCCACATGGGAACGCCCACGTCCGTCCCCTCAGCTCACCAGGTCCGTGCTCAGAGGACCCGGCACTCTGCTAGAAGCCCCCCAGGGGAAGGCTCGGCAGCCCTTCCGGAAGACGCGCTGCAGGGGGAATGCCGCGGCCGGTGGGTGGTTCTTGTCCTCTCAGTGCTTCCTCTGTTGTGAACGCAGAAGGCGTTTCTGTACCAGCCAGAAGCTGTGGGACGCTGGACACTTGCAGCCTCGGGCATTTGTGTTTTCCTGGCCTGGACCTGGACCGGAGCCCCGCAGGCACCCTGCTGCCTGCATCGCCAGGCTGCTGGCTCTCAGATCCCAGCATTGATCCTGGCTGGAGAGCATGGAGGGCAGAGGGCAGGGGCCAGGGGTCACCACTTTAAACCGTTACGACCAGGAACCTAAAACCACGTCGTTCCAGCTCTTGACCCCTTCAGAGAGGACCTGGCCACTGGGGAAGTGGTGTCGGGTGCTCTGGGGTCCCGCTGATGGGACGCCCTGTGAAGTCACCAAAGGGGACTCTGCTCTGCTGGAGGTGCCTGGCGGCTGCAGGGAAACACTGCATGCCCCCCCGTCATGCCTCGGTGGCCCCCATGGTGTCCAGTGCTGCCAGACCTCCACGCTGGGTTAGAGGAAGGGGAGATGGCTGGTGGTGGTGGCCCCGCCCAGCCTGCTGGCTCTCGGGAACGCATCTGGCTCTGAGCCTCCGAGGCCACTCTGCTCCTCCCTGGGAGCCGTTCTGGGAGGGATGGCAGTGAAACCGCATGTCCGAGCTGGAGGAGGAAGGCGTGAGGAGGACTGTGCTGGCCACTCGGGGAGGCGAGAGTGTGCGTGGACATGGGGGCTGGTGGAGGCTGCAGCTGCAGAGGGGAGGGCACCGTGCACTCGGGGCCCGTTTGGGGGTGCTGAGCCCTGACCCCGTGTCCACAGCTGACCACCGTGTCCGGTGGCCTGCCCTCTGCCCCGAGCCTGGGCTGCCTCACGGAGTCCCCGCCCCCGCCTGCTTCTCCGGGCTGGGGGTCGTCACCTCCCGCCCTGCAGAGAACTTGATTGCGTTTGCTCAGTGCTGACAGGGATGCACACACTCGGGGACGCGGACCCTGAGAGCCGTGCAGCCTCCAGAGGGGCCACGTCCAGGCGCGGCCTGGGGGAGGGGGCTGCTGTCTGCCACGCTGGTGCCGTCCCCGGTCACGGTTTGCATTTCAGGGACCCAGAAATGTGGGCATCAAAGCTGATGCAGCAAAAGCCGATCCAGGGCGAAAAAAGAGAGTCGAGGCGGCCTCCGGCTGGTGGGGCGCCCTGTCGTGTGGGGTCCGTTTCACAGGGTGTTGGTGGCTGCGCCTCAGCGGGACAGGAAGGACCCGTGCTTGGGGTGTGGGCAGTGCTGGTGGGGGTGCGGGGCTTCGCGGAGCGTCCGTTTGCCGAGTGTTGAAACGTTTTTGTAATGAAGTGACAAGGCGAAGACAAGATGCGGCCTCGTCTGGAGTGCCCGCCACGGCCTTCACGCCGGGAGCAGGAGGGTGGGCAGCTCAGGGCTGCCCGTGTCCATGCCCACCCCGAGTCCCTGGTTCTCCAGCCGCAGGTGCCAGCTGTCCGGTCCTTTCCTGGGAGAGCTTGTCTGGGGCTCCGTGGGCTGCGGTCCGGCTGCGGCTCCGGGTGCTGGGCCTGGGTTGGGCCTGCTGACCAGTGGCCGCCAGTCACCTGGGCGTGCTCAGCGTGGCCCCTGTCCAGGGCCACAGTCTCGGGATTGGCGGTCTTGCTGTGCTTGTTTAAAAGGTGCTGATGGTGCTGGAGCACACGAGCTCTTGGAACGCCATCGAAACCTTGAGGGGACCAGCAGGTGTGTGCGGTCACTGAGGCCCGGCCCTGCCGGCCTGGCCCATAAAGCGCTGACTTCTCGGGGCTGGCGAGCCACGGACCCAGGGAGAGCGCCTGAGCGCCTCTTCAGGGCGTGGGCTCTAAACTGGCCGCTCCTACTTGCTGCAAGGAGGGGCTGCAGAAGGACCTGCCCGGCTGCCCCCAGGCTGGTGAGGGTCATAGGACCTGTGTGTCGAGAGGCCCCGCTGGCCTGCCGGGCTCTGCAGCCTGTGGCCAGCCAGCTGCCTGCCTTTGTCAATAAAGTTTTATTGGAACATGGCCCTGCCGTTTGTTCACACATTGTCTTTGGTGGCTGTGAGTGGTTGTGAGGGGACGGTGTGGCCCTATACAGAGAAAGCTTGCTGGCCCACGGTCTAGAACATTCTCTACCTTGCCGTCCTTCCTGACTTTGACACGCTCGAAATATCTGGGCCAGGTGTCTTGCAGAATGCCACAGAGCTGTATGTGGTCGCTTCCTTGGGGTTATTTCCAGGAGATGCTTTGAGGCAAGAATTCCATGGGGTTGTCCTGTGGCGCCTGGGTATTGGGGTCAACCTCCCACCGCCTACGTGACCTCAGAGGACCCCAGTCCTGGACCCCTCCCCTTTGTAGCCTGGCCCCCTGCAGTTTCGGGGCGTCTCTCGGGTTCTTGCCTGGATCACTTGACACAGTGGTTACAGATGGTGGTTTTCTGACTCGTGTGCTGACGTGCGGAAGCTGCGCCTGTCTGTGTTTCCAGGCCTTGGCTCTTGAATTTTCTCTTTGTGGTCTCACCAAGACGAGAATTATTTTTACTTCGTGAACTTTCCATGGGGCGTAGTAGTTCTGGACTTGTGGGGTGCATGGAGGTGAGCAGGGTTCCCGTGGGCCCCGGTGCTGACTCCCCGCTCAGCGTGGTTGTCACAGTTGAGGGCCCGCCCCGCGTGTCACTGCCCGCTGTGCTCCAGCCCTCAGTCGCCGACATCCTGCTCTGTCCGCAGACCCCACACTGCACTCAGCGGGTCACTGCTGCTTGGTGTCCTGCTGGTGCCACAGGTTGGCAGGCTGCCCTTGTTTTCGGCTGCACGGCTCCTGCCGGGGAGGGGGTGTGCTCAC